CCATGGTTCTATCTCCCTTGTCCCCCTGCCGCCGCCGCCGCCACCACAGAAGGTGGAAACAGAAGTGTGACTGCTAACTAAACTGGCATCAGCTGCCTGTGCGTTCTGGCCACTTCCACCCCGTCGGAGCGCTGCCCCGGGCTGGAAGTGGCCGTTCAAGCATCAAGCCCTCCTTGTATCTTGACCTCCGTCTTGACAATCCGACAGCCTTGCTGTCCGACATAAAAGAAGGTTTTACATTGAGTGTCGGATTATCGAGTCACGACTGTAGTTAAATCTGAACACCTATTCTGAAACGAACCAGTGAAGTGAGTCTAAAATAGGAGTGATGCGTCCTCGCCTACGGTTACCACTTAACAGGCAGGTTGTGGTATTCTGCACCAGCTACTGAAGACGTCAGATGGGTGTTTAATGGATTATTTAGGTGATCCTGATCAACACCTGTCTTCCTACCTCCCTGCAAAACAAAGTTTTTTTTATTTTCTTGGCCCGGATCCTTTTTCTATTTTCATCTCACAGCTCATTTGTGCTCATCTTCTTTGTCAAGTGTTTTTTTTTTTTTCTTTCTTCCTGTGGAAAACAGGCGCCTACACAGTAATGTAGTTTTGCTGTCACATCAAATTTAAACACATTCTAATCTAGACAAGGCCTCCTCTACCACTGCTAGCCAATTTTTTTTTTCTGCTTTGTTTGATATGCAAACACATTTTTTTTTTTCCTGTCTGTGAAAGCTGTGGATGCTCACATTAGGAGTCTGTTAGATCCGTGCAGTTGCCATTAGTAAAAAAAAGAAGAAGAAGAAATAAATAAATAAATAAAAAAGCAGCTTTGTGCATTGCTGGTTATAAAAGGATCAGCAATGAAAAGAAAGCCTTTAAATGGAGATAAGGCTCCTTTTTTTTTGGTATGTTTTACTGAGACGCACCAAAACAGATATGTCATTTTTAGTGGCTGTCAGGCGACACTATTCACAACAAATGGACTGCCTGCCAATAGATTATTCCCCTTCATTAAATATGCTGTAATGCAGGGATACAATAGCTAGCACTAAATACTTCATAAAATAAACGCTCGCTGTGAAGTGGAGTTAATGCCTTTGATGATTATTTCATGAATCAAATCAGGGTAGCGGCGTTTCTGCTCGTTCAGTGATTTCGGGCCTCTCCAAACCCCGAGGAGGCTTCCATCAGTGGAAGAGGCGAAGCTGGAGAGCTCTCGTCCTCGCTTTACTTCTCGTTCGATGCAAATGATTCTTCTGCAGCTGACAAGTATCAGCGGCCCCGTCTCCCGCAAGCATGATGGAGACGGGCTGTCAGGTCGGCGCCCGACGCAGGCACGGAGTGATGTATTCATTTAATTTCAGAATGATGACATGCTGTACAAAGACAAGCCAAAGCCGGCCAGTCGTATCCACGCCGACAACTCCACCTTTCCTCTCTCTCTCGCACACACACACACACTCGTGTTTGAGGACGCAGCCTCTATTCCAAGTGTGCAAATGCAATTTAATGTTGTAGAAAAACATTTCCCCGTGATGCCTGTTAATTTACCGTGTGATAATTGTTTTAGTATTAACACGGCCCGCTGTGTGGGGGGTTGATGGGCCGTCATTAGCTCTGCGGAAAGCTTTGAGCTGAGCCGAACCCTACGAGACGGCTCGCACTGATCATCGCCCCCCCTTCTCTCCTTTTGTTTGTCTTTTGTCGTTTTCTTTTCTTCGTTCGCGACAATTAATTTGCTCGCCTTCAGTCTTGGGCGTACAGGAATGCGACGCGACCACGAATGCGCTTTTATTGAGATGCATTTACAGGCACCCGTTCAGGCAGAGTATTGGAGTATTTGTGCACAACACTATCTTTTCGAGGCTTGTGCAAAGAAATGTGTCTGCAAATCTTGTTCCATCATTCTAGTAAAAATTAATATAGATGTATGATGTAAGTGTTCATCATCATACAAAGTATCTCAATGTCATACTTTACCTTTTACCTTTAAGTTCCTGAAAATCACATGTGGCTTTGTCTTGTGGACTCTTAACGTGAGTAGTTTATCAATTTCATGTTACATGTGTTTTACAATCATAATGCATCATTTCAGTGGAGGAATGTGAAGATATGTTGGTAGATATATATTTATTATGATCAAAAATGTTCATTGTGGTAATTTTACAGACCTATTTTTAACTAAAACCAGGAGAGAAAAATAGTTTAATACATATTAAGTTGCTAAAATCTACTTATTAAGGGACACAATGTTGACACAAAAATGACAAACGTAGAGTAAAAAGTAGATAAAAGCAGGACAAAGCTGCTGAAGTTTAGAGTGCCAAGTCAGAACTGGGTAACACTGGACCAGAACCTGCCTTAACGCACCGACCACCCTCAAGTCCAGCCGGGCCTCGTAGCGGACCGCCGGGAGCGTATCGCTCAGGTGGAGGTGGTTGGGTAACACAAAGCCCATTTCTCAGGGCAGTCACTGGTCCCCACCGGCTTCAGTCTCCACCAGGGGAGGTTTAAGGGCAAGAATGGGGACAGAAAGATGCCCAGGTGGACTACAACGCCTCGGAGACCTGCACTGTAACCACGGGGAGAGCAATGAAGGCCGATGGTGCTCTGTTGTCACGGCATATTTTACTTACTCATACTTTTTCTGATCCACAGAGAGAGCACACTTTTGGTTTGTTCAGGCAGCCAGTTCGATGAAATGTCTATCACCAGCACAGATTGCTGTAATTTTCTTCCCTGGGGATCATAACATATAGTTACTGTTGGTATTAATAAGCATTTTTGAAAAAGAAAATTTTTGTCACCAAGTGTAAAGAAGTCGGAAGAAAGCTTTGAACAAGACTCGGGTACACGTTATCCAAACTTATAGTGAAGAGAAAACAAGGACAAACATTAAAACTGTCACCTGTCAATGCTGTAAATATCCTCCAGTTTATTGTCCTTCTTCCTTGTTCAACTTTGACCCACTGTGCCTACTGTAGTTACAGTATGTCTCCCCCGGTGCTTTGTTTGTGCTGGAGTCTTATGAGCTCTTCTCGGTGTAATCATTTTCCAAACAGGAAGATGGATAATTCTGCTGCCCCCAGCCTCGATTGATATTCTGTGGAGTGGGTCCACACTCCCTTCTCATAAATATGCATGAGAGCTGTTGAGCTTTGGCACTGAATGGGCTTGATCCCTGTGTGAGTCTGTGTTTTTTTTTTTTTTTTTTTGTGCTTGAATTTATGGGTATAGGTGACGCTCTGGCCCACGTTTGGGTTTGTGCATTAGAGAGCTGTGGCTGCCAGATGCAGTGTGTTTTAGGTGTGTGAGAGTCGGTGTGTTCAGGGGCCAGAGGTTCCAGTGTTGGGGTCATTTGCAGCCGCGGGGAAGCTGAAATGTCATGACTGGTTGCCTGCGGCTCTCGGGCTGCTGCTGCTGCTGCTGCTGTCTGTGGCTGGGTGACTCTTAATTTAGCGTGGCTGATGAGGGAGGAGAGTCGAGCGCACATGGCGCCGAGAGGAGCTACAAGTCGGACACCTGCAGTCACACGACGAAGTGGGGATAGCAAACCGAGACAAAAATCTCTCTTTTTCTTTGGCTCGATAAATCTTGCTAACCGTTTGTGACAACATCAACTCGCTGTGTTTCATATGTACATATATTCCAGTTGTCTGTTGGGTAGTGAAACGGCAGCGTGAGTGTTTAGCTGTTAGGGTGGTAGAGCTTCTGTCGACACTTATAAGATCGGCAAATCATGGTGGTCTGCCAGTAGGACGTGGCTTCTCCTCGACAGTTAAAGAGATTGTGTACAGCAGCGGTCTTCAACCTTTTTTGCACCACGGACCGGTTTTAAGCAAGAAATTTTTCTACGGACCGGTCATTACGCACATAACAAATAATAATTGTTTTTTTTCTATTGAAAAGTTTAATAAATAAATAAAATTACTTTTTATTGCTTAACATGTTTACTTTTTCTCTGTCTCAGTATCGTGTCTCTTCCACTTTCCAAAGCAGCTCTCCTGAGACGTTTGTTTTTGACTGACGGCTTCGTTTAGCAGCCGGGCATAAAAACTGACAGTCGAGTCCGGGAAACGAGCACAAACGGAAGTGATGGGAAGGCGATCTAGTCATGTTTCAAAATAAAACACCCTGCAGACTCTGCTGGAAATAAAAATAAACCAATAAAACGTTTTTATCCTATCTGTGTGGCCCGGTACCAAATGACCACGGCCCGGTACCGGTCCGCGGCCCGGTGGTTGGGGACCGCTGGTGTACAAGACTGAATGACATTCAGTTTTTGTAGTTTTATAAGTCATTTTCTCAACTTAATTAACATATTACTGCAGTGAAAGTGATCTTACTCTGTCCAAAAAAATGTGAAATTTGACATCACTTTTCATAATGAGGGACAACTCTTGGATAAACACTGGATGACTGACTTTACTGACCTCTTGATCCCTTTTCTAAGACAGTCGTGAGGTCAAAATGTCAACTTCTACACGACAAAATGTCAAATTCTAATTGAGTGTACTGTAGCTGGGTGATTGTTGAGTTGTTGGCAGATGAATAAAGTCCAGGCGGGAGGAAATGAGGGCGTTTCTGGGGAGTGTTGGTTTAATCTTTGCAATATTTCTAAGTTGTATGTGGCACGAGTCATCCAGAGTCCTGATGTGATGGTTACAGTTGAGGTGGGAGGTGATATTATGGGGAGCAATAGTCAAGACCAGCTGTTGTAAGAAGTCAGCTGCCACCCAGTCCTGGATGGCTGTGAGGCAGTACTGCAGAGAGCGTGGATGGTCCTGGTTATCTGGGCTAAATGATATGTGTGTGTGTGTAATGGTGAATGATATGGCTGAGGAGCATCATATACAAACTGAACAGGATTGGTCCAAGGTCTGACCCTTGAGATGAATGCAACCCAAATTCCAAATTGAAAACCCCTGTAGTGTGACCTCAGCATAACACACACCTTGTCCGGCAACCGAAGCATCTCTGACCTCTTGTGTTCCTCCGCAGTTACTTTGAGCTGGAGAGCAGCGGGGTAAGAGAGGAGATCCGCTACCACTACCGCTTCAAGGGCAAGCCGCGCTCCGAGTCCTTCCCCTACCGCCTCGCCGACGGCCAGTGGCACAAGATCGCCCTCACCATCAGCGCCTCCCACCTCCTGCTGCACGTCGACTGCAACAGGTAAACGCGCTCGCCGCACTCCCAAACACCTCCTGAAGGACCTTGATAGATCTGTCACAAGTGGCTGCGCCGGTTTATTTTTTTTTCCCGTGCTCCTTTGAAGTGACACGTCTAATGAGGTGTCTGTGTTTATCAAGGTAAATATTTGTTCGGTACTGTCTCAGTGTGGCTGACAGGCTGTTAACAGTGCCGACAATGCAGCATTCAAGGACGAATTAACACGCGTTGAGAGCAAGGCTGAATCTTTACATAACATCCCGCATCTCTACTGTATACAGAATGTGCTTTCAGCTCCCACTGTTCCTTAATGAAGTGGAAGGTAGCAATGATATAATCGCTTCATCGATTGGCCGGCGAAGACTCTTTCTCTAAAGTAGCACTCAGTCAGAGCTGATCTATAAACATGCACTTCAGCTGTGACAATCTTTCTCCGTCGCCACGTTCTTCCCCCCGGAGAGCCAGGAAGCCATCACTTGTCCTTTCCTTCATGCAGCTGCTAGACAGGCACACTGTGAACAAGCGATGTAAATTTAGGCAGAGGCAACGCTCTGTCACCTCTGGTGGATGAAAAGTTGTATGATGCACGGGAGGATTTGCCCTGTTGTATCGATTCCTCCCAGACGCCGCATTACACCCATCAGGCCGGTGGTTTGTCGATTAATTATCGCCGCAGTGGCTGTCTGTCAGATGAAGCTGTAGTGAAGATAAAAGAGGGCTGGCATCAGAGCGTTATTAGGGAGAAAAGATCAAAACGTAATTGGACAAAATTGGAATCAAAACTTTTTGCCTGTACGGTCCCCGGGAGGAGAGCCGCAGTAATTAAGAGCCGGTGAGATTGAATAGGTTGGTTTAGTGCCGTTTGTCACCTGGATGTTTCTGTGAGTGTAACTGTCTGAATAGTAGGAGGCTCTGAATCTTTCTTAATCGTATCTTTAAAGACATTTTTATTGAGTCGAGCCATTGTTGCGTCTTGTTTGCATAATAGATCCTTGTCATGCCGGCTATGGACCTCACGCTGCTGTTTTAATTTACTCTTTTGTCTCCTTTATCTCATTTTTGTCTCTTATTTTTTTTTTTGGGTCTGAATTATTGGTGTTTTTTTTCATGCAGCTAATAAAAAAAAAACTTCAGGGCTCAGTAATGAGTATATTAGTCTTTGGGCCGGGCTGATAATCGGCACCACCTCAGGTTAATACATCTGTGTGGTACCAAATTGCTATTGGGGTCATATGAGCGGATTAATGTGTGATAGTCTTTCCACAGTGGTAGCTTTGTCATCTTTTTCCCTCAAGATGCTCATTTCACATAATAGCAACCTTCCTGCAAAAATAATCAATATTGTGCGCCATGTTCATGTTAGTTATAAAGTCTCTGAGGACGAATATTTGTTTGTTATTTCACGTCAAAGCAAAATAAATGCATTTTTGGTTGATTTCAGGTTGTACTGGTTCGTAGAAACAGCTCATTCACGTGGATATAAGTTTATTTTTTGATAAAATTAGACGATGGAACTACGAGTGTACGTTATCTTTACAGCACGTATGTTTGGTTAAACGATGAAGGCACATGAAAGAAGTGAACTAAGCAAACTGCTCACTGTTCTGACAGTAACTCTAACCCCGTGTCACCAAGAGTTCTGGAAATCGCTGCTCGGAGCCTCAGAAATCAGACATTGCCAAGGATATCGAAGACGGCAAAATGCCTCATTTGCAGTGATATTGCAAATGTCATAGCTTTTTCACCACGAAGAAGAGTCTCGCTTGTCTCTTCACAAAAGAAGCCGTGACTAAACCAACAAAACAGAGTTCTGGAAGGTCACTTTGAGCACCAAGTACCTCAAGAGTGTCTGACAAGATTTGTTTTTTTTCTGCAGCACATCGAGAAAATAGGTAAAAGGACAGAAAAACAAGAGAATTCAGTGTGCTAACTTGTGCAGATAAGACAGATCTGGACTCCAAAGAGGGACGATGAATATAAGAACTGTTGTCTTTAGTTAATAGTTACTTTACTCATAAAACAGTAGCACAGAGATGCATGTTTGGTGTCTGTTAGGACGTCAAAACTCTCTTTTTGTTTCTTCAAATGTTTTATTTCCTATATAGAACATAAATGCTTTCTAATTATTGTTAAAAATCTGTTAACAATGTGTCTAGAACTGTCTGTCATTGTATGCATTTTTGTCAAAACTAAATATTGTTGGCTTTGTTCCATAGGATATACTCATTTAAGTATGCATGACCATCATAAAGCTACCAATATCCAAAGGTTATCATGGTTGAACATAAACTAGAGATAGGAAGCAAGTCAAAAAAGGTTTATATCTGCTGTTTTGGGTCTGGACCTAAAAAGCTTACATGAGGCGGCTGTTCCCCAAAATCACACGATCAAAGAGTAAAATCATCAGACTTCTTGATAAAACACGGCTAAAATGAGGGTTCACATATAAGTTCTGATGATCTGGTATCGATCTTTATTTGGCGTCTGATCAGCCTTTCAGGGGAATTGTGCAAATTGCGTCATTAAAATAATCAATACCAGCACTGTCTCTGTCTCTGTTTAACTTGTGTTCACTTTGTACTAATTGAATTTAGCTTGATGGAGAGCAGAGAGCGTTTTATGCCGTCGCACATGCTACGAATAGCATTGCTGCAGTGTGTCAGGCTAGCTGGGGCTGTTGAGAGGTTTTCAATTAGCCGATGATCCATGAACTAATCATGTGTGTTTCATCAAAATCCCTTCATCCTGCATCTCTTTTAAAAGAACAAATAGAGACTTTGCAGCAACCAGATTTTGTACAAAACCCTTAAAAGTTCTGCAAGAAGAGAGTGAGTGACCAAAAGTGAGGTGACAAAAATTCAGCGAATGTTTGGCTGAACTGCAGGCGGTGCTGTTTTGGAAGCTTATTAAAGATTTAAATAGCAACGTATCTGCAGTATGTTGAGCCATAGTTTCTGTTCCAGTGTTGGTAACACCTTGGGGCACTATGATTGTATTATTTATGGCATTATAACTGTCATATACTGCAAAAAAAAAGACATTTTTGAATTCCTTCTGCTTCCAGCCTGCAGTTTCCACTGAGCTGCACGACTTAAAAAAAACAAAACATGTGATTGCAGCAAGAAAAAACGCTGTTTGGGACTGAGAGGGTTAACGTCCCCTTTCTCCTGAGTAAAGAAGCCGAACATGATTTCGCGACTCTATGCTCCCTGACAGGAGCTTTTTATCCATCAATACAGATTATCGTGCTGGAAACTCAACAAGCGTCAAAGCAGCAGAGATACAAATCAGCACTTCAGAATAAAAACAGGATGCAGAGATTTGCGAGTCGGGCCCTTAGCCTTGGGTTGAAGTGACAGGCTTTGTATCCAGGCAACCGTATGCACAAGTCATCAAGTGATCGCGCGAGTTCGAGTGCATGTGTGGGGAGGATTGTGATAAAGATGGTGATTCTGTGCTGAAGACGATCTTTTAGCTCTGATCGCCTACCGGTCGTTAAAACATCGGCAGCTAAACAGAAATTTCTCCCCAAAGTCCATTACTATAGAAATCAATAAGTAGGAAAATCCATAATCTCCAAATCTTTCCTAAAAGGCTTAAAAAAAATGATCAAATGTCACCCACGGGCATCTTCCTTGAACCGGATGGAGGGTGAGTCGAGGTTTAGGGATATTAGACCTACAGGCCTAATAATAATCCATATGAAATATGAACCTGAGGTAATATAACGTTACCTGCAGGGATAAACTTTATGGTCTGGCCTGTTGTTTTTATGGGGCCCTATATCTTGTTATTAAACTTTATTCTACTTTCCATTGTGGAACACTTTGTGCTCCGGACCAGAAAAGTGCTACGTAAAGCAAAAAACTTTTCTTACTGTTGGTTAAAATAGTGAAATCAGTGCTTAATAAATACCATCTCTGTCCTGATGTTCTGAGAGCATCTACTGACACCAATGTTTCTATTAAAATGATGATTATATATATAAAAAACTAACATATTTCTCATAGAAAGGTGAGAATGTGTCATAGCAGGGAAGCCTTCTAGTTTGAAATAGCGATAAAGTCCGTAAAGGAGGCTGGAGGGGAGAACCAGGCTTTACATCATGTGTGGAACCATTGTTCTTGGACCTACGTCTTGTTTTCACTTTTCCACCGTTTACTTTCACTATTTACCGACTGTTGAGCATCAAAACTGCATGATCAGGTTCAGGAAATATCACGCTTTGGTTCACAATTTCACAATAATTCTATTTTTTTAGAAGCTCGGTTGAGTTTAAGCCCCAAAATGACCTGGTTAGGTTTAGGAAAACACCACGGTTTGGGATAAACTACAACCCTTTCACAACATCTTTGAAGCTTCTCCTCCTTTTTCTAGATTATGTTCTGGAAAATTCCTTAAACAGAAAAAAAACACTTTGCTGGGATGTTGGTACAAACAGAGTTCATCCAGATTCTCAAACAAGAAGCACAAATGTAACTGCTTTTATAGTTTAACAGATTTCTTTTCATGAGACGTTATGTTTGGTTTTAAAACTTTAAGGCCTTCTGTTGTCAGTAGAAAAATAAAACGAGGACATATTCAGAATGAAATTTCCTTGCACTTGCCTCACAAATGCTCTAAGTTTTTAAGAAACAAAGCAAAACAGGTACCATAAGATAAAGCCACTATACACAAGATGTGCTGAGTCATGTTTTGTACAAACATAAATCACTGGAGATGAATCTCCTGAGATTCTAAGAACCTCATGTGAACAGCACAGAAACATGCTGAGCTAGTTTAAAGTCCCGACCTGACATGAAACAGTAACTAACCTAATAAACATGAGTAAATGATGACCTAATAGCTTACGATCCAGTTTGTTTTCTCAGTTCTGACATATGATTGGTTGCCTGAAACACCTTTCCCGGATACACGTGGTCAGTTTGATCCACTCTCCTGCTCTTTTGCCGACACATGATTAGGATCTGAAGGTCTGTGTGCCGAGCTGATCTGTTCATCAT